CTCAACAATAGGTTCGCTGCAATATCAAAAGTACGCAATGTACTACATCAAATGCTTACCCCGTACGAATCAGAGGGCTTAAACCAGCGGTTCAGGCTGCACATTTTTTTTTACTCATGGTCTTAGGTAAGGACGACATTAACCCAAAAAGGAGAGGGGAGATAAAGTAGGAGAAGCGGAGAGGATATTGAACATGAGAAAGGAGGCGTTGGATAAGAAGATATGAAGAATAAATGAATTAAAGAAAAAGAAAAGAGAAGAGAGAGAGGAATGTTTATTAAGTCAAGCTGAATATAAACTTTTTTTTTTTGCATCTACTCGGATACTTTATACACACATAAGCACTTGACAAACAAATAATTTTTCTTTTTCTTTTTTCTTCTTGCCCTGAGCTTAGAATAATACATAAAAGGAGGGGATGAGTTCAGTAGAAGACGAAATACCCATTCCGTCAGCAAGAATAGAAGAATATGAATCAAGTCTCTTTGAACAGGAGTTTACAGAAGAAGACGTCTTACCATTTTTATTACAAGCACAAGATATTATCAGTAAACTAGAATCTAGAGTGGTTGAACTAGAAAAGGATTTATCTGTACAAACATCTTTTATCATCTTTATTCTATACTAAACCTGTATTCATAGACTATTCACTGTAAATATGAACACGATAAAAATGAATGGCTCATTGGTTTATCACAAAAGGACCAATACATAAACCACTTGACGAGCAAATTGAGTAAAATAGAATTCAACAGTAAAGAAACGATCATTTTATTATCTGATTTAAATATAAATGACGAAGAACAAGTAAAGTCTGCTGTCAACTTGTCTTTGCAGTATTTGAGACAAGCACAGACCATAAAACAAGAAGAACCCGATGATTTAGAAGAAGGTGAGCTCGAACGTAGACAGGCCGCCGTAGTTGAGTGGTCATCAAGAACACAAGATATACCAGATAATTCCATGTCACATAACGAAGAAGAACCTTTGAACCTCATGGATGGTCTTTCTTCTTCCTCAACTGGTTCCGCGCATGTTACATATAATACAAAAAGCATCTATAACCATCCTCATGTCGTAGATGAGGAAGAGAGTCAGTTTTGCATGAACTGTAAGCAGTTGCTGGCACAGTTGGACGAGCAAATAGAACAAAAGGCATACCTAAAGAGAGACTTGGGATCCTTAGCAGCAGCCTTATCAGAACAGGAAGAAATAAGATCCAATATCGAACAAGATAAGGAAGCACTGGAGGAAGATGTTGCAGGCATCACCTTACAGTTATTCTCGGCTTTGAATCAGATTTTGATGGAAGAAGTTACAGAAAGAGACCATATCGTACAGCTCAATCGTGAATTTACCAACAAGTTTACGCATTTACTGGACAACTGGGACGTGAGAGACTCGAAGCTGAAAGAGATGAAAGAACTGCTGATTCAGTTAGACTCTGCTGTACATCAAAGTGTCAGCACTTCAGCCACGTTCACCCGAAGATTCTCTCAACAGAATGCAGCTCCTATGCTAACAACAACAACAACAACAACAACAACAGCAGCAACAGCAATGAGTGGTAACAGTAGTATGCAAAAGCGTCTTTCTTCTCACCGCCGTACTCCAAGCTTTCAACAACAGATACACAATACGATTCAGATTGACGGATACGCTTTATCTGAATTTCAACAACATCTCAAGGCCCTAACATCCTCCAATCAACCTATACCTTCTACTTCATTTGTAAAGCGTGTGTTTAGTGAAGATATCGAGCCTTGTTTATTCTCTCAGCAGTCAAACAATAACTGGTGGAAGTCGACCTGGTTCAAAAAGAAGTTACTGGACGCTATCTCCAAGAACAAGTGCGAAATCCAGTACTGGAATGGCACTTATTCTACAACAAGCTATATGTCGGCGACAACAACATCTTCTTCCTCTGTCACTTCAAGTGCAAGCCATGTATCGAGTGGTTCAAACAACGTACCAATGCCTCCAAAGACAAAGTGCGTCTCCTGCAACGTCCTCCGTGTCTGTGAATTCAGGTTACGATTACCGCCTGCAAGCAACCCTTGGCTACCGATTGATAGATTTTGCAGAGATAAGATTATAGCTGTCTGTGGCTATTATAGCTTTATGAACAATTTGAAGTCATTATCGACATCGAGTACATTATTGAATACATTCAAGCAAGTGATGTATCATAGGCGAAGAATGACTTTATCAAGAGTAGGCTCTATCAGCTTATTCGAAGACTTGGAAGACTTGGATGACAATAGAAGGCACTCTAGAAGATATCGTGGAAATAGAGAAAGCGTTGTATTGGACCATTCAGGAAGTAATAGCGATAGTGGAAGCGTAGTAAGTGTCAGTGATTTGCAAGGATTAGAAGGAACAACTGCAAGTCAAATTGTTATAGTCCATTAGAATATACCTCTTTCTTTCTTTCTCTCTTTAAAATACCACTCACACATTATATGTCTTATAACCAATCATTTTAAACATTACTGCATAAAGCTGTCACTCCTTATCAATCAGCTTTTTTCTTTTTGTCTTTGTTGTTTCTTTCTTTCTTTTTTCTTTAATAACAACAGTATAGAACTAATGCCAGGACGTCAAAGAGGGCAACAACGTAATCAGCGAGGTAAAAGAAACAGTCATCGTGGCAGACGTGGAATGATTCCTACTGCAAATGGCTTTCTATATGAGCCCTCCTATAAAATTGACTATGAGGACGACTTTCGACTCTATGCGCAGTTTGGTTCTGAGGAAGAGCAAGAAGATCCTCAACTATTAAGCAAGAAAGGTACTTTTTACTTTATTTTCAAAAAGAGCACCCTTTGTAAATAATTCATATTCTTTAGGCCACAAAAATAAGAAGCCGCAGTACTCTAAAAAAAATAACAATCATCATTCACAGCGGCCTGTCAAACAAAAATCATATCACACACCCGTCAAGTTCACAAAGGCCACAACCTTATTTGAAAAAGGTTCGCATTATTAAAAAAAAGGAATGAAAAATGTTGATGTTGTTATTAGAAGAAGAAGAAAAGGATGATAGCGTAGATCAAACTATTCGGTCCATGACCACACTTCGTCTTGAGGATGTAGTGGGAGAAGGTTCAAAGGATGGTGCTTTAAAAGAAAAGGATGAAAGCGAAGAAGAATATCTTAATGAAAATGAATATTATGAAGAACATTCTGCAGAAGAGAATGAAGATGATGATGATATTGAGTATTATGAAGAAGAAGAAGATGATGACGATGACGACGATGAAGACGAAGAATATTATGATCAAGATACTTTCTTGCATTTCTCAGATACGGAAATAGATGAGCTTTTGGAAGAAGATATGATGATTATGGAAGATTACATGGAGAATGCAGAATTTGATAAGGACGATATCCATAATATCCTTCAATGGTCTGCGCAGCAGGATCAACATCAAAATGAAGAGCCTGAGTTTGAAGAATATGATTATGATGATCTTGACCGCAGCAATCATACACAACGAATATTGACAGAAATGGAAGAAGAAGAGGCAATGATGACAAAAGAAAATATCCATGGTCAAATCATGAAAGGTGTCAAGGATAAAACCAAGAAAAAAAGAAAGAACCGTCAGCAAGTGGATGATGATGTTGAAGTTGATCCTGAAATCTTTAGATACACTCTAGAAAGGGCAATGGCAGAAATTCCTCCAGGCTTACGTCCCGGTATGCGTTCATGGTATGATAAGCAACAAAAGAGAAAGGAAGCCAAAAAGGAAAAACAAAAACAGAAAAAGACGAGGCAACAAAAGGAAGACAAGAAGAGCAAGAAGAAAAAGAAGAACAACTCTTATGACCAAGACTTTGATCTGACAAAGATTGATAGGTATATATATATATATATATAATATTACTGTTAAACAAAAGTGTATTAAAACATTTAATAGGCGCATAAGAGAATTCATAACTGACAGCTCCATCTCATGCTATGAGTTTAGGCCCATGCCTCCTTATGTACGGAAACAGGTACACATCCTTGCTCAAGCCTATAATCTTCTGTCAGAGGGCACAGGCAAGGGAGCAGACCGATACATTGTCATCAGGAAGACATCTGAAACAGAGATACCAGAGAACCGTAGCTCAATTGAGCTCTACATAGAAGAGCTTCAGCAAACAATTGATGTGGTTACAAGTCGTCAACGAAAGCACAATGAACCTTCAGAACTATCAAAGGAGAAGAATCGCAACAAAAAGAACAGCAAGGGCACAACTAAAAAACCTGGAAATAATAAGAAACAAACGACCATGCCAGTTCCTGGTACAGTTGTTGGTGACAATGTTGCGCCTATCAGTCAAGATAATGTTGGACATCGCATGTTGGCTGCTATGGGGTAAAGAGAAAAAAGTTTGTAGAGATGTTGTATATGGGAACTAACAATTTATTATGGATATATATTAGATGGCGCCAAGGACAAGCACTGGGAACAAGCAATGATGGTATTGTTAATCCAATCATGGCTGTCGTCCGTAGAAATAAGTTGGGTCTCGGTTTATAAGAACATATTTACAATTAAAAGAATTACCAAGCTGATTTTCCCATTTTACGCTTTCGTGCCTTCTCTGCAGCTGTTTCTATTCTCTTTTCTTCTTTATCAGCAATTGCTAATGCTTTGGCGATCTTTTTCTGTTTTTTGGAATTAGACACTTTTTTCACTCCTCCCTTCTTAACTTTGTGAATAGAAGTTGCAGTCGTTGATGTTGGTTTTTTCTTCAAATCAATAGCTTGCTTTCGTGCATGCAATAATTGTAACTCTCTTTGGATTCTTTCCTTTGCTATATATACATATAAATGTTGGTGTTTATATTGTTACATGAAAATATGATTACCATTCTTTGGTTCACTGTCTTGAGCATAAGCATATTTGGATACGGGTTGCTTTTCTGTTATAGAATAAAAAGAACTTAGTATAAATGTACTCTATACACATACACAACAACCTACGATTACTTTGTGCCATTTTACGACTGATCAAACTCACAAGAAAGAAGCAAAAATATCTAGTGGCTTATTATAGATTGACTGATGTTGAAATTGTATTAAGCAGTGAAATACGGCTTTTTTTCTAAAAGCAATGTCGCATAATTTAAAAATGTATAATACAAAATATACAAAAAATGATATCTTGCAACGACATTACCTTTAGAAATAGTGTACACCATTTCTAGAAAGAGATGTAGCACTGACTTGTCGTTTTTTCGTATAAATTGTATTACAAAAACTTCAAAAATGCGATTTTACTTTCTGAAAAGATTGTACAGTGGCCCAAAATGACCACACAACTAATTCTATTTTTTTTAAAAATTACAAAAGCTGCGAGATATTAATAATCCTATGAAAGCGCATATGTGATTTTTTAAGGGAATAAAGAATAACAATGAAATAAAGGGCATTCTTTATTTTTTCTTTTCTTTGGTGTACTTGTGGAGCTGTCTTGCTTGAATTTTGCTACAAAATCCATAACTGCTTCATACCTCTCATTTTTATTGGTAGTTTGATCTACCACAGCAGCTACATGCGATGAGGTTTCAGTAACGGGCAAATCACCATTTTCCTTGTTCTTACCAGTAACTGCTGTATTGGACGAGGCTTCAGAAGAAAGCAAATCACCATATTTTCTTTGGGAAACACTACATGCATTAGAAAATACGTCAGAAGCTAGACTAATTTTAAGGGCGCTACCTTTGCCCACTACCTATGATATCTTCCAACAAAACCTTTCAATGTGTAGCGCCATACTAAGCATAGCTTTATAAAGTCATCATCTTGATTTGTGTTTCTTTTCAAGAAGAAGAAAGAGATAAAAAAAAGAAATGTTATTTTTTATTCTAGTTTTATGTTGTCAGTTTTATCTATTTATATTAAGTCTCTGATAATTTTTCAATTACGTGTTATTTATAAACTGTTGACCATACTATACTCCTGCCCTCTTTTTATATCTCTCGAAAGGAAGAAGCTCATATTATGTATTATTACGTGTTGTCAAATTGGAAAAAATAAAGATTGATAACCAACCAAAGTATAATTGTTATTGATCTTACAGCGTGCCAATAATATCTGAAAAAATTCTATTTATTATGAAAAAAAAATATATATATTTAACACAGTGGCACATTCACAGCAAGACCACCTTGGCTTGTTTCTTTATACTTTGACATCATATCAAGACCAGTTTGTCTCATTGTTTCTATAACTTGATCAAGAGATACTCGATGATCACCTTCACCGTTCAGAGCTAATTGAGCTGCAGCAATAGCCTTCACTGCAGCGAGAGCATTTCGTTCGATACAGGGTACCTGTACAAGACCACCAATTGGATCACACGTCAGACCCAAGTTATGCTCCATACCGATTTCTGCTGCATTTTCCACTTGATCCACTGTACCACCCATCACTGCTGTGAAACCAGCAGCTGCCATGGAACAGGCTACACCGACTTCACCCTGACAGCCAACTTCAGCAGCAGAGATACTGGCACCTCGTTTGAACAGCATACCGATGGCTGATGTAGTCAACAGGAACTCCATGACATCTCTTTCTGGATTTTCCGAGATAAATTCGAGATAGTATTTCAAGACAGCAGGGATAGTACCTGCTGCACCGTTTGTAGGCGCTGTCACCACACGCCCTCCACAAGCATTTTCTTCATTAACAGCAATGGCATAGACCGAGAGATAGTCAAGAGCTGGCAGGACGAATTTCTTTCGTGGCATTTTAGGTAAAAAGCTGAGTGCGAGTGGATACTGACTGCTGACTTGTTGTTGCTCATTTGATGTAGGCAGTTGCTGTGAAGAAGTGATGCGAGTGTCATGATATCCATTGCTTGCATTCATAGGGGTGCCATATAATCCTTTCAATAGTTTATTGTACAGTCTAGGTGCACGACGTCTTACTTTGAGAGGGCCAGGTAGATAGTCATCGGGAGAAGCCATGACACCGTTACGGATGCTGTCGTCCATTGTATTCCAGATCTTGAGCAACTTTTCTCTGATCGCTTCAGGAGTGCTCCACTTCAATTCGTTTTCAAACACAACCTGGGCAATCGTCATTTTCTCTCGCTTACAGACCTCCAACAGTTCTTGAGCATTTCTAAAGGGCAAAGAGACGACAGCTACATCCTGTTCACGACGTTCTGCCACCACATTCTTTTCCGTTGTCTGCTTATAATATACATTCTCACCGTGATCTAATTGGGTCTGTTCGTTGACGACAAAGCCACCACCGATACTAAAGTATTCATTGGTTGCCACCATGTTGACATTTTTGTCATAGGCACAAAAGCGAAGGCCGTTTGGATGTTGGGGTAATGTTTTGAAGTAATTGAAGACCATGTGCTTATCATAGTCAAATGTGATCCTGTGGGTTCCGTCCAAACGAATTGATTTGTTTGTCTTGATGTCTTTGACTCTTGATTGAATTGTACCTGTCTCAACCGTATCTGGGGCTTCACCCTCAATTCCCATCAGGATAGCTTCAGGAGTACCATGGCCTTCACCTGTCAGCGCAAGGGAACCAAACAAGTCTATTTTTATATATAAAAAAAAGATAAGCCATTCCGCGGATGATGAACATATACGGCAATTCATTACCTACTCTGAGTGAATGGACCTTATCTAGTACATTATGATCTTTCAAGTCATTAATGAAAATCTTGGCTGCTCTCATTGGGCCGACTGTATGCGAGGATGATGGACCGACACCGATAGAGAAAAGATCAAAGGTAGAGACGACGGCATGATGATCGTTTTGAGGGGATGTGTTGTTTGATTGGTTATCTTCAACTTCAGCAGTGTTGGACATGACTGTAGATGACATATGCTTTAATGATTGTATGGGTATCATTCTTTTAGTAAAAGAATAGGCGGGTCTGTATTGACCCAATGCTCTTTTTCTCAAAATGCTGCCAAACATGATAAAGAAATCAAAAAAAAAAAAATAAGGGAAAAATCCCGTATTTTATCAACTTAAAAAATCGTTCTTCATAGTCACATTTTCACACGGTATTCCTCGATTCAGCCAATCAGATTTGGTTTTTAATTTTACCCAGACACACTTGGACAAAAGAGTTATTCATAAAATGGATGACACGGTGCTGGTTTAAAGACATTGGTGTGCATATGTACAACCCTTGTGAATATAGTTCTAGATTTTGAAAGTAGCTATATTTTTAAACTCGTGATAAAAAGAAAAAGAGAGAGATCATTACTGTTATCCATTGTATGTATAATCAACAAAGTAGTTATTCACGACAAAAGAAGGGAGGGAAATGCTATTCTATATGAGCTCGCGTCATTTGCTTATACTATCAAGATGAATTGATCATTTATTGATAAGCATATATAAATTCAATTCTTTAATATGTCCGTTTGAATTATAATTTTTCCTTGATACGCTCCAAGGTCTTCTTGAGATCATCCGGCGTTACCTGCTGTTGAGGCCATCCAATCTTGAGACCTTGTTCAGGATTAGGTTTTGGAATAATATGAAAGTGAACATGAGGTACGACCTAAGGAAATATTAGTTTACAAACAAGATAAGAAATAAGTGGTATTACTTGATGAGCCATAGGTCCGTTGTTCTACACATAATCATTAGTACTTGTTCATTGAGCTTAGATTTAATCATTACCTGCAAGAGATTGTATTGACCATCTTCCAAACCAATAGCAATAGCAACCTTTTTTGCTAATGGGAGCATATCTGCAAGGATATCATCAGGTACTTGATGGAAGAATTGTGCATGGTCTAATCATTTGTGAGTTTTTTTTTCTTTGCAGTATTTGGAAAGTATTTACATTTGGGGATGACGAGCTATAAACGGATAGATGAGTCAGGATATCTATATTTTGATATATGCATCTATTAAACTCACAGCATGTCCTTCACTCAAAGGGTTGATGTCAAGGAAAGCATAACTAATATACATTATTTTTTGGTCCCTTTTTCACTCTAGACCTACCTCTTGTCCGTTTCAGCAATCTTGCAAGAAGGAATCTCGCCTCTTTAAGAAAAAGTTAGTTCATACCTGTGTCTTTATTATTATTATTATTATTATTACTTGATAATCTTGCAAAAGATACAGTCGTCAAGTAAATGTTGGTTGGCCATAATTCACACAATCAGGTAATGAAAAAGAAAAAAGAAAACCCGAGAAGTCTGTGAGGTAAACTTTTCTCGTGTAACAAGTACGCGTAGAGTGGCCCTGCAGTGCATTACACGTGGAGCGGAGGGAAAAGGTATACTTCTAAAATGCATAATCAAAGAGTCGTGTATCGAATACTCTATAAAGTTTCTTTTTTTGAATATAAAGAAAATGAATAAGAAAAACGTAATGCGCTTCACTCCTTAATTGATACAAAGTAGATGAAATTTCCTAATTTATCGAACAAAAGACCTATAATCATATAATAATAAGGATTTCGTGGATGAGCAATGAAGCGCACTTGAGCTCAAGATGGTCATTATAACAAGAGGTAATATGAGATTGAATTACCAATTCGATGGAGTAAGAAATAGCGTCGATAGTCCTTTGATATGGTTAATCCATGGAGCAGGTGGTGACTTGAGTCATTATGATGACTTAAAGACTGTCTTGGTGAAGCAGTCCTATAGAGTACTCACGTGTGATATTCGCTATCATGGTCAATCTCAACCTGTAGACGATCAACAGACCGAGTTTCGCTTTGTTGATGCATTGGATGATTTAGACTATATCCTATCACATCTTGTGCACTCATATTATCCTTCTTCTTCTTGTCGTATTCCCTTGTACATCAGTGGACTATCCATGGGTGGTGTCCTGTCCCTTCTATATGCGTCTAGGTACGAAAAGGATCCAGAATGGTCAAAACAACGACAGGTTGAACTCAAGGGTGTAATTCCTATTGCATGTACTGTTCCTGGTCTTTTGCGATCAAGGGAAGAATGGAAGAAATACCAGGAACCTCCGACGCTGAGCATAATTCAATATTCTAAAATGGCCATCGTACAATCTGCCAAATTGACCAAGTCTCAAGAAGACATTAACCGAGCAATGACACAGATATCAGATCTTGCCTTATACCAATGTTTTTCAGAAGTAGCAAACTCACTTTTAGTAGAGCAGGACATGCCAGTGACTAAGATACCAATGCTATTGATTATCCCTGAGCATGATGTACTTACAAGACAAGATATGGAGGATCTTTATGAGATCAACCATCAGCGTAATATTAAATGCCAAAAGGTAATCATACCAGATGCACTCCATATGGTCATCCTGGATCACAGTCAACAAGTTGCCGATTATATTGCACAGTTTTGTAAAGATTGATTTCTTCTTTATTCCTTCTTTTCCTTTTGTGACTTTGATAATAAAATTGTACCTGACAAGATAAAGCATGCACCTATCCACCATCGTACGGTCAAGGGTTCATTAAATACTAAATACCCCAAGATTGCCTAAATTCAAGAATTAAACGAATTTACTACAAGAAAATGATAATTTTTGCTTACAGAGGCACTAAAGTTGGTAGCTCCATTCACAATGGAAACCTGTACTGAGGATGATGCAGAGTTTAATGCTTTTGTGAACATGGTCCACATGACTGAATTACATACAAATGTAAAAGCAAAAAATAGGATTCGCGTTGCAAGCAAGGTTGCCTATAGTATTATTACTCTCTTGTCTCTCTCTCTCTCCCTCTCTTCCTTTCTTTCTTGTATTTACCTCTTCAGGAACAAAACTCAGTTGAATGTACGAATGGAGTAGCTTTGTCTTTTCATCAGAAAACAATTTTGCAAAAACAGAAGAAAATGCAGCAAATAGACCAGAAGTAATAGCAAAGAATATAAAGGAAGCCTTACTTGTCATTTTTATAATATAAAAAGAAAAAGACAAAGTGATTTAATAATACTCTGCTTTATCGGTGGTTCAAAACAAGACAATATACACCAAAAAAAAAAGACAAAAGTGAAATAATGAAGCTTTTATGGCTATAGTACAATAAGTTATTTCTTTTCTTTTCTTTTCTTTTTTTTCTTGTATTCTTACAAGGTAAGCTTAGTTACTGAGAACAATAAGTAACTTCTTTATCCGAGCTACTGTGACTGTCAATATGTTTTTTGTTGTAAAGAAAATTTACGCGTTGAAATATTTCATTTTTCTTTACAAAAGAAAGAAAAATACTTGTAGAGAATGAATGCGTTTGGAACATCGACAAGTCAACCAAATGTGACGTTTGGGAACACAGGTGAATAGATGGCCTCTTTTAAAACCATAAAATACTAACATAATACAGCCAATACACAATCATCAGCTGGTACCTTATTTGGAGCCACTCCAAGCAGCAACACTTTTGGAACCAACCCTAATTCCTCAGCTGGTATCCTATCTGGTACAAGCAGCAACACAAGTGCAGGTACTTTATTTGGAACAACACCAAATACCAGTACTTCTTTTGGTGGTATGTGAATAGAACCTCATCATTGAACAATGCTAATTTTAAAAAAAAGGCTTTGGAGGCTTTGGCCAGAAATCAGCAGCAGGAAACACATTTGGAGCAACTTCATCTGCACCTACTGGTTTTGGACAAACGCCAGCAACATCAACTGGATCTTTTTCATTTGGAACCAATCAACCTGCTGGCAATACGGCTACTACTACTACTACTACTACCACAACAGGCGGGTTTGGATCAACTGGATTTAGTGGTTTTGGTTCATTTTCTAACCCTTCAGCTACAACAATGACAACCAATGCAAGTCAAGCAAAGCCTACGTTTGGAGGATTTGGGTCATTTGGCAGTAACCAGCAACAACAACAACAACAGACTGGTTTTGGGATGCAAAGTTTACAGCAGCAACAACAAATGAATAAACCACAAGTTCAAGAGAAAGTTTGGCAAGAGCTTGCACTTATCAGAGCACACTTTGATCCTACTTCTCCTCTTTGTCACTTTAGAGTAAATAATCAACCATGTTGCTTATTGTGTATTAAATTGTTCTGTAGCATTATTTTTACAACATGGTACCACGCGATGAAGTTCACTTATATGTTCGTCCACCTAATCAAGATGAAAACTTGTGGAATGAAGCTATTCGAAAGAATCCTGATCCAACATGGTAAGCTTTATTGACAGCTAATTTATATGCGTGCGATTAAATCATTTACCCTCAAACAGCCTAGTGCCGGTTTTGGCTGTTGGATTTGACGATATATTAAAACGTATGGAGATTCAGTCCCAGCAAAATGAAATATATCAAGACAAACTAAAGGTAACAAAGAAATAGGGTCAAGTGAACACCTGTCATTGAATCGACATTTTAGGAAATTGGACAAAGATTGGCATCAGTTCAACGCGAATATCTACTTAAAACATTGGTGAAATTAGAAGAACATAAACGTCGCCATATCAACCTGACTCAACGATTGCTACGAGTAATGTGATATCAACCATTATCGCTAACGACTAATTCCTTCTTTTTATAGCTTCTTCGATATAGCCAAGTTCTTCGTTATAAAAATTTCCCACTAAATGCAGAAGAGGAAAAGACGTTTGAACAATTAAACCAATTAGCAGCACCAGATAATAGTCCTGAAGAGCTTCATGCAAAAATGGTTCATTTATGGAGTCGACTTCAAACAGCCAAGGCAGCATTGTCAGATGCGAATAACAAAAATGAAGTTTGGCGGTCAGTTAGTGAAGAAGATACCAATAGAATCGCAAAGGTATAAATATACAATGTGTGTGTATGTAAACATAAGCTCATGTTATCTATAGGTTCTCGAGGATGACCAGCAGGGTATTTTGCATATTGCAAGTATATTAAAAGCTGATACAAGAAAGATGGATGAGATCGTAGACACAATAAAGAATGCTAAATGAATGTAATAAACATCAATTTATTACGAAAACACGCCTGTTTCTAATTATACGGCAGAAGTGGGCTTTTTTTTTTATTTATAAAAGATGCGTTTGCTCAGCCTAATTACACAGCCAGTTGTTTTTATTTATATCTCTCTTTCTTTATCTGGTTAGCTTCATGTTTGCCTTATTGTAAAAGACATGTTGAAGTTGTGGATCAATGAAGAGATTTGCTGTGACTTGTATGTAAAAGAGTAAAACAGAAGTGGGTCTCAAGATATATTTCAATAACAACGACCATCTAGATCAGAAATCAATAAAATACCCGTCTTTGATCAGAGCGATCGTTGTTGGAAGAACAAACAAAACAGGATTGCTGCGTGCAAAGAAATAAAATGCAGCCCAGTCATAATGTGGAATAAAGTCGGATGCTTTCTATTGTGGAATAATAAAGCTATGACCATGGCTCATACCTGTATCTCTTTGAAGGTTTGATATGAGAGATAGTGAGAGAAAGAACCATGTAAGGTGCCTGCTGTTCCTTTTCATTATCGTCTGTTCTTTGCATATACAAGCACCAAAAGCTTATATATTTCATTGTGGTTCCTTTTACAACTCTTATAAAGCATTTTTAAGATTGCCTGATTTCCTCTTTTTTTTTTTTTCTGCTATTGTTCTGAGTTTTCATTATGTGTTGTTGACAATGAATTGATGACCGCGCTTTGATATCATGATAACTCTAACAAAATAAAGCAAAATAGAGAACAGACCGAGGCTAGATTCTGGATTTTGAAAGAGTTAAAGAAAAGGAAAATAGAAAGGAGCTAAAGATCCAATTAAGGAGATGATTTTCGCCTTGTCTTACATTTAACAACTTTTCCGACCAAATTTACCGTGTAACCAGTGTCTATTTAATACACTCTTTTTTTCTCTTTCTTTCTTCTTTTCCCTTTCATACTCTTTCAATCATGAAATCATTAGCATTAATTGCAAGCATCAGCTTAGCATTATTTGGATCTGTCATTGCTCAAGAAGGAGCCACAGTCCCTGTTGGATCTGGACAATCTACCTCTGGTAGTTATTCTTGCGATCCTAATACATGTAAAATTGCCAACAACTGTTTATGTGCATCTCAGTCTCCACCAGGCGGATTAGACCCTAAAGATACACCTCAAGTAAAGTAAAGACAATAGATATCTAAAACAATACTCACTCTTTTTTCTTCAGTTTGTTACTGTTACCTTTGACGACTCTATTCAGCCTGCCTTAATACAAACAGCCCTGTCAATGGTGAATGTTACGTAAGATTTTGTGATATTTTTAGGATATTAAGCTTGTTTTTTCTAATTGACTTTTTATTCATCGCAGTAACCCTAATGGCTGCCCCGGTCACGGTACCTGGTAAAGTGGCAAACATTTCTATTTTTGGTATTGTACTAAATTTACTTTTTTATTTTTATCTCAGGTTCGTTTCAATGCAGTATACAGATTTCTCATTGGTACAACAGTGGTATGCAGCTGGCAACGAAATTGCGGAGTAAGTTATTTTTGATATTATCAACCTGTGCGAACGTTTAACACCATTTCATTATAGCCATACCTTCACTCACGTAGGCACACCTTCTGCTCAAGAAATTGCAGCCTGTAAATCCATGTTGAATGCCTATGGTGGCATTCCCAACTCAAAGATTCAAGGTTTCCGTGCACCCTTTTTGAACTACACCAAAGACACCTTAAACATCCTCAGCCAACAAGGCTTCCTGTACGATTCAAGTTCAAGCGCGGTTACTGATGATGCTTACTGGCCATACACACTTGATAATGGTATGGCTAATGACTGCTGGACGGGTATTTGTAATGCTGGTCAAGTTAAGTTGCCAGGTCTTTGGGAAATTCCAATGTATTCCGTTCTTGATAACAAGTCTATTCCTCAATTAATGGATGTCTATTTGTCTGGCAGTCCCGCTGATGTTACTGCATGTAAGTTATATTCTTAAAGCATTGGCCCCCAAAAAAGATACTAACATAGAATTAAGGGAGCAACGCTGCTTTTGATAAACATTACAATGGAAACCGACAACCTTTTGGTATCTACGTTCACCCAACCCATTTGACCACTTACCCTGGTCTCCCTGATCCCAAGGATATGTTCCAAGCCGTCCTCAGTTTCATTCAATCTATTGCTTCCAAGCAAGATGTCTGGTTCGTCACTAATCAACAATTATTACAATGGATGAAGAACCCCGTCAAGGCATCTGAATTGGGCAAGCAGGATTACATGCAATGTAAGCAACCTGTTATTCCCAAAGAGATCTGTAACGGCTTGGACGATGACCACAATGGTGTCGTTGATGATAACTTGATCAACAGCTGTAATTTTGGCCAAAGTAGTACCAAGACTTGTTTCAACTGTCCTGGATCAGCTCCCACTTTAGACAACCCCACACCCGCTTCTACTGCTCAAAATGGAACCGCAGGCTTCCGTTACCCCATTCCCGATAACTGCGAGTAAGTAGCTGAATGCTTGATCTATTTTTTTATTTGCTGATCCATTGTTTAATAGTACTACTTGGTGGGATCCTATCGGTAACACTTGTCTCTGTACATCTGCTGAATGTCAGCTCAAGAGCATCGCTGTCTCTAGACCCAACAATACATCCTCATCTTCAAGCTCCAGTTCCAGCAACTCTGCCTCATCATCTAATTCATCCAACAAGTCAAGTGATGCATCTAGCCTATCAGCCTCTATTATACCTGCAGTGCTTATGGCTGGTTTAATTAGTCAATTACTATTCTAAACTTTAACAATAACCATGTAATAAATATTTTTTATTTCGCTTTCTCTTTTTATAAAGAATTGGCCACTTTCTGCTTGATTTCTAGGATAAGATTCAAGAATTCTGGATTGCTGTTTTATAAAGTTAACTAACAGGATTTTATATACATTTAATAACTTACTTTCTATATTCTGAATTTGCAGATGACAAATTGAATATGCCAGCCATCATTTGTTCTGCTACAGCTTGTGTGACAGTAGGTGGGAAATCACGCAAGAGACGAAGACAGTTGAGAATGTCTTCGAGCATCACATTTCTAGCCGCAGCACAGATACACAGTCTTAATAAGCCAACCACAGTTCGCTCTACTACGAGCACGCTTTGTTTCTCTGCAAAGTCGAGTATGCCAAACATGTAATCTGTTGCATATGACCTAAATATAAAGCATTAAAGCATGCCCAGTTTAAGATAGACCACCATACCATAATTCCTCTATCCTATCTGCATTGCGTACAGTGATTGTCACCATAAACTCCAAAAATAGAACTGTGGCTGGATCATAGGGTATTGTCACTGTTGATTTCTTCATTGCTTCACTATCATAGCCAACTGAACGTATGGCACTCAGTAGACATTTATGGGTTTCTAAGCTAACTGAAGTAATGTTTGTAAACAGTTCCTCTAGCTTACAAGCAGATACACAATCCACTGCACACATAGTCATCTCCACCTCTTCCTCCGTCGGGTCACGGCTGTAGGCTTCGTCATTAGAATAAGGAGATAAAAGATAAGAAGAAAGCGTGGATAGAAGCGAGCCATCTCTGCGGTTTTGTTGTTTTGAAGGCTTTGGTACCTTTGGCTTGAGTGGAATATTGGTTGTTCCAGATAAAAAGTCTTCTACCTTGAGCATAGAATTAGGTAGAAGGGAATTGAGGAAAAGATTACGAATGATCTGAAGCACCTTTGTCCAACTCTTGCGAAGGGCATTTCCATACCTCGTAACCACTGTGAACAAGACGACGGCTGCGAGTTGTCCTTTATAGTCTCGGCCAAATCTGACCGCAAGCTTACTCACCACATATTTCTGACCAGCCACGTCTACGATGGGGTCAGGTACAAACGATGTGTGATTATCAAGTAATCCAGTCATTGTGGCCAAGTTAACGACGATACTGTCGAACGCATCATATAGTTCAAAGTGTGCAGCAAGAGTAGCACAGTGACGGAAACCGGTGATTGCTCTCTCCAGTGTATCATCATCTTGAGCTGTATTAAACGCGCATGAAATTGCTGCTACCAAAGGTTTCCATACTAGCTTGAACATGGCATGATCATAAGAAGATGTTGAGCATTGTTCAAAAGGATCCGCCTCTGCAGCTCGGTGTTGTAACTGTTTCCAAGCGTAATTGAAACCCAAGAGACCTTCGTGCTCGTCTGGCATCAGTATTTCATCTTTTTGTATAGCCTCATACATGGCTGTAAGATATTCTTTTGGAAAATCCTTATTGTCGTTCATTCCACGTATGTTTCGAATGTATTGTTCAGCAGACATGCGTGATTGATGCCTGATCTGTGGGTTATGTTGGTCTGTGTTCAACAAGATGATCGAGAAGGCTAATATTTGAGCAGCCTTCAGGTTCGCAATCCCGGAAGGTTCAACATTGAAAAATGTTTCTGCAAATGTATCAGTGACACGCTCAATTTGTTGAGCTTCGCCTGGTAAGCGGAACGTCTCGAGTACCATACGTAATGCCTCATCCATACGTTTCTAACTCTCCTTTTAGTATACGCTTTCA